GAATTTGAAGGACTACATCTCGTTTGTTTTCAGGTTGTGAGTGAACTTGGTTCACTGGATTCATTGGTTGTGGTCCCTCCTTACAACGATGTGCATGGTGATATCTTGGAGACTACTCCGATGCAGTTTGATAAGGTATGAGTTATGGATCACCTCAACCATAGTTGTACATAATTAAGTAATCATTCATGGAATATATTGTAAAGTTTATCATGATATGTTTAGTATCGAAAAATGTTTAAGATATTCGATGAACGTCTCACTATACCATTCAAACTAACGAAAGCAGCTCTACCAGTTTTGCAAAAGTCAAAGTAAGTATCAAATCACATTCTTGTCTTCCTGTTGAATCTTGTGGTGTAGATCAAGTTGAGAAGTGAGTTATCAATTTTAGATTTTTTGGTGTTTTTCGAAATTTGCGACTGTATTCAACAGCATAACAATATTATCAAAGCACTCTTAGGTTTTAAAATTAAATGAACAGAATTTGATTAAAATTATGTCAATGACTTGGAAGATTACTTATATTCACATCCAAAAAAACCCGTTTTTCATTGCGCTCACATTCTCCAACAAAGGACAAACTTCTTGAGAAATGTCGGTTATTTGCGACCGAAATAGTCAATTGAAGGCGAACTCGTTTGCTCTTTGCGGATTTTTTTTCTACCAAAGCTTTGTTGATTAGAACAAACAGTAAGTGAATAGGGTTACGACTTGAGCAGTTTCCAATGCTTCCCACCCCTGAACACGTTCGTTTTTCGATGTCGAGAATTCTCGCAAAACTCAGAACTTTCGAGATATCTTCTGCATCTTTCAATATCTAGGAGAATTCTATCTGTAAAGCCCGTAAAGATGGCGCGAATTTACGCTTTTTTGAGCTTTTGCGCAGCCTGCTAAACTTATGTGTCTTTTGGTGACTTTATTTATTTTAAAGGAGAATTATCATTAATTAGACCATCATATATCAGTTACTAATCTTTTCGAGCCTGGAGCAAAACAGTAATAAAGTTTTTCGTTGTACTACGAAATTGA